ACCAGTACCAGTACAACAAGGAGCTTCTACTGAAAGACAGTTATTCCCATCCCACAATGGATCACCAGTGTATACTTCAGTAAGGGAAGGATTACTGTTTGTACCTGACTCACAATAGTAGTGCTCTCCTACAAATGATGGAACTGTATTAGTATTAGTTGCTCCAGTATTACAAGGACAGGTAGAACCTCCATTGATATTTGACTGATGCCCAGCTATATAAGACCAGACATGTTGACGAGGTGACCCACGTGTGATACTGACTCCATCAATATAAACACCATTAATATCATTGTTGTTAGTGTTGACTCCATCAGTCGTTCCCTTTTGATATCCAACCACTTTACCACATATTTGACTATAACTGATACCATTTGTTTGGAATGCATTAGACCTACAACCAGCAGAATCACCCTCTCTCCTACAAAGTCTAATGCCTCCAATCATCAATTCCTCAAGTCCAGAGGAACAGTTCTGGGAACTATCAGTCATATCAAGATAAGCTATTCTTGTCCATCCTCCTTCTTGTCCACACAGCTCTTCCATATTGCAGTATGTATTGCGACTGTTAATATAATAGTAACCAGAAGGACTGTTGGGATGAGTTGCTTTAATATCTTTACAAGAAACAAGTTGAATAGCAGAATTGAACAAAGAGGATCTATTCTGTATTACTAGTAATTCATTGACTATTAGTAGTACATCATTAACAGCAGCAGCAGTTGGTATACTGATATCTTTAATAAGACTAGTGTTCAGTAATTGAAGTAGTTCATCTGTAGACCTGTTGGTATTATTAGCATGTACCATAATCTGTTGAATTATGCTATTCATTGTATCCTGTATCAGTGAGAGGTTACTGTTAACATTGTTATCATTAATCTGTTCCATGATATGTTCCATATTACTTTGAAGGAGCAATGAACTATTTTTTGTAGCACACCATTCCATTATATGATTTATTTTATTTTGTATCAGTGACAGGTTACTGTTAATAGCAGTATTACCACTATTAGTGAGGCCAGCACTATTACTGCTTGTATCACTTGTACATGTACTCATGAAGGTATCTTTTGATATTAAGTTAAGTACAAGTATAGCTACCAATAGGAATATTATGATCACCAGTAGAATTATTATTGCAGCAAATGACTTCTTTCCTACAGTATACTGCACTGGTTGTTGGGGAGGTTTGGTATCCTTAACATTAGCTTTTGGTAGCTGATGATCTAATGAACATATCATACATTAGTTTTAATAATAAATTACTTGGATGGTATATACCTGAGTAGTCATGAAGATCTGAGTACATTGCTTCTTCAGTACTAGTATCAGTCTTTACTACTGGTTCATAGGCTGTGTTTTGTGTTAGTGTGAAATCCTCAGCTTCCCTTTGAAAACTTGTGGACATTGTCTTGTTTTCCATCTCTCAATTCAACAGCTCTTCTCCTATAGCTATTTTCCTTATTATGATCATCCTTATATATAGATATGCATGCATATGTGATGTTTATGTTGAATTTGAATTTTTGCTTTGATAGCCTGGCAAGGTTGTGTTTCTATAACTTATAATTATCTCAAGGTTATCACAATGTTTGTTTACACTATAATAACTTTATTTTGTGTTTGCACTAATGACAATGTTTTACACACTAACTACTAACAAAGACAATGCACTACTTATAATTATTAATTGTTTCTTTACTTGACATAAATCTCATACAATTGAACTGGAGTATCTTCATTTCCATATCCACTATTCCCACACACCCTCAGTTCAATGTAATCAGTAATAAATGTAATCCCACAATGGATCAGTAGTGTATGCTTGACTTTTCGAAGGAGTACTGTTTGTACCTGACTCACAATAGTAGTGCTCTCCTACAAATGATGGAACTGTACTAGTTGCTCCAGTATTGCAAGGACATGTGCGAACTGAATTGATATTTGACTGATGCCCAGCTATATAAGACCAGACATGTTGACGAGCTGACCCACGTATGATACTGACTCCATCAATATAAGCACTATTGATATTATTACTTTCAACTCCATCAGTTGTTCCCTTTTGATATCCAACCACTTTACCACATATTTGACTATAACTGATACCATTTGTTTCGAATATGTTGGACCTACAACCAGCAGAATTACCCTCTCTCCTACAAACTCTAATGCCTCCATCTATCAATTCCTCAAGTCCAGAAGGACAGTTTTGTGTAATGTCAGTCATATCAAGATAAGCTATTCTTGTCCATCCTCCATCTTGTCCACACAGCTCTCCCATATTGCAGTATATATTGCGACTGTTAACATAATAGTAGCCAGAAGGACTGTTAGGATGAGCTGTTTTAATATCTTTACAAGAAACGAGTTGAATAGCAGAATTAAACAAAGAGGATCCATTCTGTATCTCTAGTAATTCATTGACTATTAGTAGTACATCATTAAAAGCAGCAGCAGTTGGTATACTGATATCTTTAATAAGACTAGTGTTCAGTAATTGAAGCAGTTCATCTGTAGACCTGTTGGTATTATTAGCATGTACCATAATCTGTTGAATTATGCTATTTATTGTATCCTGTATCTGTGAGAGGTTACTGTTAACATTGTGATCATTAATCTGTTCCATGATATATTCCATATTACTCTGGAGGAGGAGTAATGAGCTATTTTTAGTAGCACACCATTCCATTAAGTCATTTATTTTGTTCTGCAGAACTAATGAGTTATTATCCATTGTATTTTGAAGAAGGAGTGAGTTTTGGTTCATTGTATCCTGTATCAGTGACAGGTTACTGTTAACATTGTGATCATTAATCTGTTCCATGATATATTCCATATTACTCTGGAGGAGGAGTAATGAGCTATTTTTAGTGACACAATTTTCCTTTATATCCTCCACATTTCTGTATCAATGACAGGCTACTGATAATAGCAGTATTACCACTATTAGTGAGGCCAGCATTGTTGCTGCTTGTATCACTTGTACATGAACCTTTATTAAGCAACAGTACTACCAGCACACATACCAATAGCATCAGTATGAGTGCCTGTAGGACTATTATAG